CGCGGGGCGGCGGGGCGCGGGGCGGCGGGGCGCGGGGCGGCGACGCCCCTGCGGCCCGAGGGGGTGCGTCGCTCCCAGCGGCGTAGGCGGGGGAGGCGCCGTCGTCGGCGCGGTGCTGCTTCAGACTTCAGATGCGCGCGAGGAGTACTATGAAATGCACCGGTGCGAATTCAACAACGGCCGTCTGCAGCGCGACAACTGCTTAAGTTGAACAGAACAGCGCGCTCAGCTACGCCGCTGGGTGGGTTTTCGCTTTTGGCTGAGCGGCGCTGGTTTGCACCGCTCCTCGGCGTCGCGCTCGCAACGGGACGACGGCGGCGGGGCGGGGCGGGCGCCCACCCTCCATCGGCTGCCTACCCTCGTCCTCGCCTCCCTCCCCGGCGCTGTGTCTCTCTCCATCTCGCGGGCGCTGCCCGGCCGCCGTCTCTGTCTGAGCGCATTCCCTCCCCTTCTGGCGCGGCACTCACACACACTCGCACTCTCTCTCACACATACACACACGGGCGCGCACCCCTCGCCGCGGCCGCCACGCCCCGCCCTGCTCGGCCGCCGCCGTCGGCTGCTCGCCTGCTCGCCCCGGCCCGCCTGCCTGGAGAGCTGCGACCGGCTGCACTGCGCGCTGCACTTGGGGGACTGCTGCGCCGCCGCGCTCATGCACTGCACTCGCGCTGCACTTTCCTCTCGTCTGGTCCGTCCGGTCTGGTCAACTGTCGGGTGACGCAAGCAGCGCACCTGCACGAAAAAAATAAATTACAACACTGTTGTGTCGTAGCCCCGAAACTACTGGTAGCTTAACCAATTGGTAAATATGGATAACTAACTGTTTAGATATGTTACTAAAAATTGCTGTGTAGCTTGGCAATTCGCGGCAGGATAAATAGTTAGCTACCTAGCTTAGTGGTAGTTAAAGTTATCCTGCACTAGGTAATGTTTTTAGCTACTACAGCTAGTCTTTTATATCGCAACGACGTGTGTTCTGCCGTATCCACGCCGTTTCGATATTGTTTCGATGGGTACAGGTCTTCGGGTTGGCGATTTGGCACCGCGAGGACGGCAACCGATGTGCGTAGTCACTAGAAGCCGGGCATTGTCGCGGTTTTCGAATCAGAGCAGGGAAAGAAAGAAAATATGGACCGATAAGTCACATAGTTTTAACTACAAAAACTTGACTGAAAAACAGAATGGCTACGTAGGTGAATGTTTGTTCAAAACATTAGAAGTTTAGTCACGACGAGGCCATTAAGAGCAACTATTTTGATCTTGAAAGTACAACCCTGGGCGAGTATGCGATGTTTGACGACGTTGTCGATGCCGCTCTGTCGGGCGGTCGTGGCGGCCGCTCCGATACATTACCACTGTTCACTTCGGGACGCCGCCGGACTCGGTCGAGTGTCACGACAGCCGTGCAGGCGGTTATCGGGTCGCCGTCGGGCTCCGTGCGCGCCGCTTCGACTGTCACGTTTGTTGTCACGCTCCGCGTTTCACGGTCACGCCGCGTGGCGAGGCCGCGGCGGGCGGCGGCGCGGGGGTCACTCGGAGTGAGTTAGCGGCGTAACGCTGCTGCCGACGTGTTGCGGCGAGTGTGCCGCGAGCGGTGACGCGCACACTGGAGGTAAGTTTTGGAAAGGGGGAGGGGGGCGTGGAGAGGTAAGATGGAAAGGGTGTAGGAGAAGGGACACCTTCCGGTGGGGGGCCCCGGCGGCCCCCGGGCCGGAAAGGAGTTCAAAAGCGGCACCCTCCTGGGGCGGGCAGGGGCGCCCCTGAGTGGGGGAGGGGAAGGGGGAGGCAGGGCCTGGCCGAGGATTTGTTTTGACAGTTCAGGCGGCGCGCGGCGCAGCGCGGCGGCGGCGCGGCGGGGGCGGGTCGAGGGAGGGAAGCGGGGAGGGTGTGGAGGACGGGGAGGAGGGGGCGGCGCCGCGCACCGCGTGTGCGCAGTTGTCAGGTTGTGCGAAAATCTAATCAAGTGCTTGGTGCTCGATGTGATGTGCCCCCGGAGCCCCGGGGGTGGGTGCGCGTTCGCTCGCGAGCGCTGGGACGGCGACGACGCGTCCCGCGCCCGCAGCTGTTCCCGGCGATAGCGCCTGCCTGTGGGCGCCGCGCGCGCGCGGGTGTCCTGTCCGTGGGAGCCGCACCGCGCCAAGGACCCGCGCGACCCGCCCGCGACCCGCAGCCTGCCTACCTCAAGGTCGACTTTGGAATAGATTGGCATGGCAATCACTTGCTCGGGCCTGTGTCCCGGTGTCCCCCGGCCGGCCGGGCTTTCCTTCGGGTTCCCGTGTGAGCCCCACCACCACACCCTGCCGCTCGTCGCCCTGCCCGGTCACTGACTCGCGACTAAGCCAGGCGCGGCGCGGCGCACGTATATACTGCACACTGTGCTGTGCACGTCCCCCTTTCCCTCCTGGTGGAGGAGGGGGGACATGTCGGGGTCGGGGGACGCGGCGGGGTAGTGTCCGCCCCGACGACAACAGAGGCCAGCACGGGCAGGAGGGCGACCGGTCGCCGCCGCCGTCCACCACGCGAGGCGAGCGGAGCTCGCTGCAATAGCTTTTACCCCCTCCTTCCCGTCACACACACACACACCCACGCCGTCGGCCGCTGAGAGCAAAATGAACCGACGACTCTGCGGGACCTTATTATGTGGAGGGAAGTGGTGCTGTCGCGCACCTCGCTTCGGGGCCCACTCCCCACCCCCACCTCCTCCC